ACCTTCAGATTATGAGACTAAGGCGCTGCCTACTGCGCTAACAAGGAATAAAATATAGGGAAGGGTGACATATCACTAAGGCGCAATCCCAAATTCAGCCTAAACGGTGCTTCCACACTGCCAAAAGGCCCTTAAATGAGTTGGAAATGTCGCTCATCTTGTGCCAGAGTTCGCTGGTGTATATATGATTGATATGAAGGATTAAAACTATGACCCATGTGAAGGCCAAACTCACCATTTTTAAGATTATCAAACTGATGGACTGCCTGAACAGCAGAGAAGGGTGACGTAAGGTGAGAGTGCAATCCACAATCCAGGACAAAATGGTATTTCCACATGGTGAGGCGGCTATGCTGCTGCCTGTGGCATGAATATCTTCCTCACTGCCAAAAGGCCATGAAATAAGATGGAAATGTGGCTCATCTTGTGCCAGTGTATACAAGGGATATGACACATTAAAATACCTGCCCCGTGTGAGGGTCGAACTCACGACCTTCAGATTATGAGACTGACGCGCTGCCTACTGCGCCAACGAGGCCTGAAAACCTGAACAAGGCCAAAAGACGCCAGAGCCAAATCCCCAATCCAGAACATTATGGTGCGTCCAAATAGTGAGACCACTATGCTGCCGTCTGTGGCATGAATATCTTTCTCACTGCCAAAAGATCATGAAATGAGCTGGAAATGTGTATCATCTTGTGCCAGTCTGGACCAGTGGTATGAAACATTAAAACTACAACCGAGTGTGAGGTTCAAATGAAAAACCTTGCCATTATTAGACTGAGGTGCTGCCTACTACGGCCTGAATAGCAGAGAATGGTCCCATAACGTGAGGGGGCAATCCCAAATCCAGGAGAAAATGGTGCTTCCACTCTTCCAAAAGACCATAAAATGACTGGGAAATGTTGGTCATCTTGTGCAAGAGTTCACTGGGGTGTATATGATTGATATGAAGGATTAAGACTATGGCACTACATGTGCCAGAATTTGCTGGATGGCTATGATGGATCTGACAGATTCAAATTACTGCCCCGTGTGAGGGTCAAACTCACGATGTTCAGATTATGAAACTGACACACTGTCTACTACGCAAATTCAAAGCCCACACTAAATGGTACAAAACACCACAACCAAAAAAGTCCCACTGATTGTTTTATTGTTCTGCCTTTCTCCCTACAGACAATAAATGGAATTCTTTTTTCCACCTCCCTCATGATATCCATCATCCAAAAGCCTTCATTTCTAGCTATGGCAAATTAAGACATTTTGTAATTCCACACACGTTTATCTAACTCTAAAGTTTATGGAACCCTTTAAAAGTGTGTAGGTGTTAGCACACGCTGCCATCCAGGAGAGCCAGAACATCTCGATGGAGGGGTTATTCCTGTGGATTCTCTGTGGTGGGCTTCCAGGGTTCTCTGCGCCATTGGCTGTTGGG